GGCTGCCTCTACCTTTTGGTACGGTTATGCCATCAAATCCCTGGGAAATCTGGATATCTATTAGCCCATAATGACCTTGCCACATAAGCAACAGATGGTGAAAATCGTAACAGCCTATGCAGCAGTGTAATCAAACAATTCATATGAAGGGCTGATAATGCTCTCTAACAATGAAATAAATTTTTAGTATGTTTCCTCTACTCTGAAAGCTGTCTAGTTCTCCTAACGAGTACCACTGTGGACACTAAAAAGGGAACACTGATTTTACTCCTAAGAGTTTTTCTTTCCTTTGAGACAGGGTCTCACTATGCATGTAGGCCAGGTTTGCCTTGAACTCACAATCCTCCTGCCTCAGCCGCTCAAGTGTGTCACCATGACTAACTAGCCAAAAGTTTCCCCACAGTACAGCTCATAACTGGATCCTTTGTTTTTCCGTTTGTTCATTTGCTTTGTTTTTTTGTCATGTAGTCACCTATAAGTTCCTTCCTGGGCACTTGAGAGATCTGGGTGTCAGAAAATTCTATGTGTTAAAGCTCCGGACATAGGAGTGGGGTTTCCTTTCCAAGATGAAGTACAAGAATAGACAGACATGATAACAATGTCACATCCGTGCGTTTTTGTTTGATTCTGTAGACTAAACCTAGGGCCCGTGTGAGCTAAACTCCATCCCCTAACAGAGTTGTTTTGTTCACTGCTTCACAGCTGTATCTCCAGCAGTGCCTTGTCTAAAATGTCACATGGCAAATAGGTAGGGATGGGGTGGTCAGGACAAGGTTAGAAGACTCAATAGAGGTAAGGAAAACCAGAAGTTCAAGGTCATCCTGAGCAGTAGTAGTGAGTTGGAAGCCAGCCTGGGATACGGGTGACCCTGTGTCAAAAACAAAATATAACAAAATTTCAACATTTCAGTAAATCCCACTGAAGGTATTAAAATAACTTGAAATGTTGGAGCTCAGACCTTTTATTTGCTATTTGTTTGCTTGTTTGTTTATTATGTATACAGTGTTCTGCCTTCATGTGTGCCTGAAGGCCAGAAGAGGGCACCAGATCTCATTACAGATGGTTGTGAGCCACGATGTGGGTGCTGGACATTTAACTCAGTACCTTTGGAAGAACAGTCAGTGTTCTTAGTCTCTGAGCCATCTTACCAGCCCACTTTTATTTGCTTTTCTAGTCTTATTCTGTAGCATAGGATCGCTTTGAATTTAAGTAGTAATCCTCCTGCTTAAGTCTCCAGAGTATTGGGTCTGCAGGAATGAGCCATCACACCCTGCTTGTGTTTATTTTTGTAAATAAACTTCTGAAGTATCCAAAAGAATCTTTGCTTAGCAGGAATTACTTGCTTTAATATTACCCTTATTTCAGCATTTCTCCCTGACACCTGGTTTACACATCAATTGCCCACTGTACTCTTTTGCCAGTTTCCAGTCTATTCACTAAATCACAAAGAACACAAACAGAGCCCAGCCCACAGAAAACACAGGTGGGAAAGGCCAGATTTAACAATTTGACAACTCTAGAAACCACACAATAGTAACCAAGAATAGATTTCACTTAAGGTTTTAGAATATATCTCATAATTTAAATGTGTGTGTGTGTGGTGTGTAGAAATAAATGCTACAGCTTGATTATGTATCTGTAATCAGTAGAAAAGGAAGGCAGGCTGAGCCAACTAAATTCTATATTAATTAGTCATAAATAGTTCTTGCAATTATCTGAACAACAAACACATCATAGAACAACTGGTGTGTGTGCATGCATGTATGCACACACTTGCATGCACACACTTGTATGCATGCACACACATGCATGCACACACTTGCTTTATAACTTGACATGTATAGTTCTTCGAAATTACAAATGAAATTCAGAGGTGTAGCCAGGTGTGGTGGCCCATGCCTTTGACCCCAGAACTTGGGAAGCAAAGGTAGGTGAATCTCTGTGAATTCAAGGCCATCCTGGTCTACAGAATGAATTCCAGGACAGCCAGAGCTACACAGAGAAACCCTGTCTTGAAAAACCAACAGCAGAATGGTTGTGGTACATACCTTTGACCCCAGCACTTGGGAGGCAGAGGCAGATGGATCTCTGTGAGTTCAAGGCCAACTTGGTCTTCAGGGTGAGTTTCAGGACAGATTCCAAAGTTACACAGAAAAACCCTGACTCTAAAAACCAAAAGAAAAACAAAGAAACAAAAAAATTCAGTGGTGTTAAAAATAATCTTTTCCATCTGTTGATGGAGGCCTCTCATTTGTTTCCTGCTGCCCAGACCCGAAATAATCACACAGAAACTATATTAATTAAAACATTGTTTGTTTAGGCTTCTTATTAACTAACTCTTACAGTGTAAAAAAAAAGCCATTTCTATTATTCTGTGTTTCGCCAAAGGCTGTCACCTACTGGGTAAAGTTCTTGTGTATGGCTCCTTCATTAGCTACATGGTGTCTCCCCAACTCCGCCTTCTTTTCTCATCTATCTCTGCTTGGATTTCCTGCCTTGCTCTATTCTGCGCTGCTACAGGCCTAAAGCAGCTTCTTTATTAGCCAATGGTAATAAAACATATTCACAGCATGCAAAGGGGCATCCCACATCATCTATCTATTGGTATTCTTCCTACAGTTGTCTAAAAACAAAACAGAAAAAGGAAATGTCTAATAGTACTTTTTTGTGTGGGTGGGCGCACTGTGTCAGTCAGAGGACACGTAGAAGTCAATTCTTTCTTTCCATCTTGTAGATCTCAGATCAAACCCACATCATTAGGATTTGTAGCAAGTGCCTTTTCTGGCTGAGTCACCTTACAGACCCAGAAAAAGGATTTATTAGTAAACAAGACAAAACTAAACAGGACCATATGGTTTTAATGTAGAATTCTACCAGAACTTCCAAAAAGAACTAATGCCTATACTCTTAATGTGTTTCACATAATAGAAACAGAAGAGTCATTGCCAAACTCTTTTTATGAAGCTACAGTTACCCTGATACCAAAACCACACAAAGACTCAACCAAGAAAAATTACAGACCAGTCTCACTCATGAACATTGATGCAAAAATTCTCAATAAAATACTGGCAAACCAAATCCAAGAACCCATCAAAAAAAATCATCCATTATGATCAAGTAGGCTTCATCCCAGAGATACAGGGCTGGTTCAACATATGAAAATCTATCAATGTAATCCATCATATAAATAAACTGAAAGAAAAAAAACATATGATCATTTCATTAGATGCCAAAAAAGCACTTGAAAAAATTCAACACCCCTTTATGATAAAGGTCTTGGAGAGAATAGGGATAAAAGGATCATACTTAAATATAATAAAAGAAATATACAGTAAGCCAACAGCTAACATCAAATTAAATAAGGAGAAACTCAAAGCCATCCCACTAAAATCAGGAACAAGACAAGGCTGTCCACTCTCTCCATACCTCTTCAACATAGTGCTTGAAGTTCTATCAATAGCAATAAGACCACATAAGAAGATCAAGGGGATTCAAATTGGAAAAGAAGAAGTCAAACTTTCGTTATTTGCAGACGATATGATAATGTACATAAGTGACCACAAAAACTCTACCAAAAAGCTCCTCCAGCTGATAAATACCTTCCGTGATGTGGCAGGATACAAGATCAACTCCACAAAATCAGTAGCCCTCCTATACACAAAGGATAGAGAAGTGGAGAGGGAAATCAGTGAAATATCACCTTTCATTATAGCCACAAAAAGCACAAAGTATCTAAGGGAGGGTGGGTGGTGGAGTGGGATGGAAATGGGAGGAGGGGAGGAAGTGGAAATATTGAATGGTATTATTTATAAAGCAATAATAATAATAATAATTTGTAAACATTCTACATATCAGAGATCAATGCTTCATCAGAAAGGAAGATGGAAAAGAAATGGCTTCTCTACTTAGGGTCTTATGTAGTGACATTTCACTTGTATTTTAGTAAATAAAGTTTTCTGAAGATCAGAGAGTAAAACCATCCCACTGGTCAGTCTTATAGAGCAGGCAGTGTTAACACATACCTTCAATACACTAGTTTCCATAGAAACTGGGCAGTGCAAGTTTTTAAGCCCAGTGGTTCATGCCTTTAATCCCAGTCATAGAGAGAATTATAAAATGGAAGGAGACAGTTCTCACTCAGAAGTCAGTCTCCTTCTGAGATTCCTGAAAACAGGATCACGATTTTGGACTGAGTTTAAGGTAAGAGCTTGAAATCAGGTCAAGTGGCTGGCTGTTTTGCTTTGCAGATCTTTTGGTTGAACCCCAATTTCTCTTTCTGAGTGCTTATTAATCATGCAACATGCTTATGTCTACAAACATTATTAAGAATGCAAGGAAGAAATATGAGGCATATTTTTAAATTAGAAAAGGGGAATCTTGATTGGAAAGTGGATATGGAACTCTGAAGCAGCTAGTTAGACATTAGCAGGATCAGAAAACTTTAGGGCTGCAGTCTTCCCCAAATCATCAGCTTTTAAAACCAAGGAGTAAAAAAAATATCAAGACTAATTACTTGCCAGACAAACAGCAGCTGAATTACATCTCTGGGCCTTGGGGGCGACCCTCTAATGATCACTCATTGATTAATTTTCTAAACTTGATTTCTGGAGTCCTAAACCTTGCCATTACTATATAGCAGGAAGCTTTGCAAACCTTTTCCCCTTCCTATAAAAATTAAGCCAACAGGGCTGTCAATTATACATATTCAGTTAAAACCTCATGCCTGCCCTGAATCCAGATTGCCATTATGATATATTTTGAGGTGTTTTTAGTTACATAATGCAAACTTGATGCCCAAGTCACCAGAATCCGGAAGAAGTTTACCTAAGAAGGTTGTCTGTACTAAAAGTCTTTAAAATAATATCAAGTCTAAAACAATGTAAATCATCATAAAAAGCTCTTTGGCCATTGTCTTTTCTCACCCCTTAAAAGTATGCTTTAATCTACTTTAATAAACTTGGCCTGCCTTAAAAAAAAGATTAAGAATTTGACATTAAAAATCACACAGATTCTTCACTGTCATAGCGAGAGCATCTAGTTCTGAGCAGGTGAGAACGGTATCTTCTTTTTCCTACTGTTGTCTCCGTCATTTTCCTCAGCTCTGGGCATTCCCATGTGCCAGAAAAACCAAGGGAAGAAAACACTTTCATCACTGATTCGTCAGCAAAACAACCTGTATTACACCTAAAAGGAAAATCTGAGGTTCACAGAGCACAGCCCCACTTGCCCCTTAAACATCAACACTAAATGCACAGGCTGAAACAGTGTAAATCTGCTGCAGTAACATTATACTTCGTTGTACTTCCAAACCAGTGAACACACAGACGTTTAATCTCTTGCTGTTTCTGAACAGTGGATTGAAAAAAATACATTTTTCAGATACAGCAATGTAGCAGGTTTCATTATTTCTTCAATTAAAATTATGCATTTAAGCTTGAAATTCTATTTATGAATTATACTGTATTTACTATATTAAGAGATTAAGAAAGGCTTTTTTATTCTAGAATTTCCCTGTCAAATGCTACTGAAGAAGTAGAAACATTAAAAAAAAAACACGTACAAATGTTTTTAAAGGATCTACACTGCATTAGAAAGGAGGAACGCTGAGCACACGTAGTGGGCTTGGTGGAAAGCACCTGTCCTCCATGTACACAGGGGGGCAGGTGTATTCAGATTCTGAGGAACACATCTAAGAACAATGCTACAGATTATTAAGATGTCAGTATTTACAATGTGCCAAAAGGCATATCCTGTGCATTCATCTGTCTTGAGGAGGTCGTCAGTGTCTAATATTTCCACAGCTGAGTAGATAGCCAAGGTCCACAGCACCCGACAGCGGGCGTCCTGTCTCTATTTGCTCTATTGCGTAACAGGACTTCTCTAATCAATATCTCCAGCAGTAGAAGACTCAGCTCATGGACTGTTGAGAGAATTAAGTAGAATTAGGTAAGAAAAAATGTTTCATGCCACAGGACCAGGAAATCCACTGTGAGACTGTGCCTTCTAGTTATGACAGAGGAGATGCACCCATGAAATCTCAACAACATGGTTGCCCAAGCAAGACCTGAACAATTCCAACAACAGTTGTCATTCCCAAGATGGAGGACTCTCACCAGGCCCCACCCCTAGATGAGGGACTACAAGCAACTGACAACTGCTGAGAGAAGGAGAATTATGTCCTCCAGGGATACATTCTCTGACTTGCCTTTTTGACATCCAGTGGGCAGCTTTAGAAGCACACACATGCAAGCAGCACAGAGTGGACTGGGCAGGATGCATTTATGTGTTGGTTCATTTATATGAATGGAACAACAATGGTCAAAGACAAGGAGGACATGGGTGGGATAGGAGGGAGGAGAGGGAGAGAGGACATGATGTATTCAAATTCTAAATTAAAAACAAACAAAATGTTTAGCATAGCACCCAGCCTTAGCTGCACATACATGCACCAAATATTTGTTACAAAGGAGGCGCTTTCCTAAGTACTCTACAAGTATCACTTCATGCTTGCCCACACCTGTGAGGCGGGAATTGCTCCTGTTCTGCTCAAACAGCTGAGAGAGCAGGGCTTGTTCCTTGCACAGCACACAGCTCCTGGATGAAGCGAACCAATGCTGAAACCAAATAGCTGAATCAGAAGATTATTGTTTTCTTCTCTGCTCTCTCTTCCTTCCTTCTGAGACAGGCCCTCCCGGTGTAGCCCAGGCTAGCCTCCAACTCACGTTCCTCCTACCTTACTAATTTACATTACACTCCCAGCCAGTATTACAATTTCTTACTTTGTTTTAACATATGTAAAAGTTATAGTCATGGGCATTTATAAAAATACAAATCTTATGTTCAAACAAAAAAATACAAATGCTCATAGTAGCTTCATTCATAATAGTAAAAACTGAAAATAACGCAATATCCCTCTGCAGGTTAATGGTTGTACAAAGTGTGGCACATCTATTTGATGGAGGATTACTCAGCCATAAAAAGAACAAGCAACAATTTACCTAGATCTCAAAGGCATCAAATTTAGTTAAAAATTCAATTTCAGGTTCCTCCTTTCTCCTCCTCCATGTGACAATTATATTAAGCTATAATTAACCTACTTTTTCTAGTGTCTGAGTTCTATGTATATGTATTTTTCTCTGGGTGAGTTATCTCTCAAAATCCTGGCAGCAATAAATCTCTGACCCTTCTTCTAGCTGACATATATATGTATATGGAAATGCCAGCTTCAGGAAGCTCTCAGCTATAATACTAACATCTACATATTCTAAATTTAATAACTCAAAATGATTTCCACAATTTAGCATCTATTCCATCTGGGAGAGGTAGACATTTGTGACAAAGTCTTGATATGTAGCCCAGGTTATCCTCAAATTTTCACTTTTCCTATTTCCACCTCCCAAGTATTGTGGGATATTTGTACACTGTGTGAAGATATATTGTTGTGATTGGTGTAATAAAAAGTTGGATGGCCAATAGGGAGGCAGGAAGTATAATGGGGACTTATGGGCAGGGGGGAAGCTGGGAGGAAGAAAGGCAGAGTTGCCAGTCAGGTGTAGAAGAAGCAGGACACGCAGGAAAAGAGGTTAAAAAAGTGGTAAAATATAGATTAATAGAAGCAGATTAATTTATAAGAGGTAGTTGGGAGCAAACCTAAGCTAAAGACTGAGCTTTCATAATTAATAAGACGTCGCTGTGTCGTTATTTGTGAGCTGGCTGGCAGGACAGAAAAAGACTTGCTACATCCGAGAGTTGGGATTACAACTGTGTTCCTCCACATCGGGCTCCATCGATTGTAACTGGAGGCTGCGCTTTCACTTCCCAGCTGGTCAGTACCGAGTAACCACACAGAAACTTATATTAATTACAAACGATTTGGCCTATTAGCTTGGGCTTTTTATTAACTAGCTCTTATAACTTAAATTAGCCCATTTTTACTAATCTGTGTACTACCACATGGCTGTGGCTTTCAGGTAATGTTCTGGCATCTTTTGCCTTTGGTGGCTACAAGGCCCTGACTCTGCTTTTTTCTCCTTCTCTGTTTAGATTTCCTGCCTGGTTCTATTCTGCCTGGCTATTGGCAAAATCAGATTCTTTATTAACCAATGGCAATGAAACATATTCATAGCATATAAAAGGGCATCCCACATACTCTATTCCTTTTAACAGTTTCAGTTTCTCTGCATGCTTTGAAATATCAATATGTCAAAAATTCCAATGAAGTTTGGCCTCTTTCTCTCTTGTGTATTTTTCTCTCTCCCTTCCTCTTTCTCTCTCTATGGCACTAGAACAGACTGCAGACCTTACCGATTCTTCACATCTCACCAAAAATTTTTTAAAACTTGGGTTTTTCACATTTTTTTAAAGATTAAAAAAATTTTGCTGGGCGGCACTGGTGCACACCTCTAATTCCAGCACTCAGGAGGCAGAGGCAGGTGGATCTCTGAGTCTGAGTGTAGCCTGGTCTACAGAGTGAGTTCCAGGACAGCCAGAGCTATACAGAGAAACCTTATATTGAGAAATAAATATTTTGTTTTCTAATTTTAGTTTTCTTTTTTTTAAAGATTTATTTATTATTTATACAACATTCTACCTCGATGTATGCCCGCACGCCAGAAGAGGGTGCCAGATCTCAGTACAGATGGTTGGTTGTGAGCCACCATGTGGTTGCTGGGAATTGAACTCAGGACCTCTGGAAGAGCAGCTGGGGCTCTTAACATCTGAGCCATCTCTCCAGCCCTAATTTTAGTTTTCTATAACTATTGGCATACATATTTTTACAGAAGCACGTTTTCAATTTTATTATCAAAGCCATATAGAATATAAAATTTAGCCAATAGCTTATCATGTTAGAATAAAAATTGTAGATCTGCTGCTTTATTAAGAATCTTTAATCTTAAACCAGGTGATAGTGGCACACATCTTTAATCCCAGCAGAGGCAGGTGGATCTCTGTGAGTTCAAGGCCAGCCTGTACTACAGAGCAGGTTCCAGGACAGGCTTCAAAGCTACAGAGAAACTCTGTCTCAAACAAACAAACAAACAAACAACAAAGGATCTTTAATGCTAAGATATTAAAACAAAACCTCAAGTGCCAGGAGTATTTAATATGACCATCCTTAGAGGACGTATGACCATAGTCCCATCACCAGGACTTCCTCTTGCATTTGGCACTGTTGTATGATCTCAAAACAACTCTGTGTATCTAAGCTTTGTCCAGGGACATAAATCCCAGCCCACTACCTTAAGGAAAATTTCCTAGGAGGCAACCTCTCCCTCACCATTCCCACAAGACACACAGCTGTGTCTGTGTGATTTCTGAATTCTGTGAAAGAACTACGTAAGAGACATCTTTTAAAAAAAAATCTATTAAGACTAAAGGACAGGGGCTGGAGAGATGGCTCAGTGGTTAAGAGCACTGCCTGCTCTTCCAAAGGTCCTGAGTTCAATTCCCAGCAACCACATGGTGGCTCACAACCATCTGTAATGAGGCCTGGTGCCCTCTTCTGGCCTACATACAGACAGAATATTGAATACATAATAAATAAATATAAAAAAGACTAAAGAACAGTTATAGAATCAGATAACTATATGGATTAGGAGATAAGTAATAATAAAAGACAAAACCAAACATCAAGATCGATAGTATCACATTGTTGGAGGAGGTTGCTTGTTTTTCCTAGCTGCCTGCCTAGCTTAGACGCAAAATAATCACACAGAAACTGTGTTATTTAAATCACTGCTTAGCCCATTAGCTCTAGCTTCTTAATGGCTAACTCTTACATATTAATTTAACCCATCTCTGTTAATCTGTGTATCGCTATGTGGCTGTGGCTTACCAGATAAAGTTCCCAGCGTCTGTCTCAGATAGCAGATCCATGGCTTCTCTCTGACTCTGCCCTTCTTTCTCCCAGCATTCAGCCTAGCTTTCCCTGCCTACCTAAGTACTGCTTGCTATAGGTTCAAAGCAATTTCTTTATTCATCAATGGTAATCACAGCACACAGAGGGGACTTGCGCATTATCACATGTCACATTGAACATTTAGGAGACTGAGACAGGATTGCAAGTTCCAGGTCAGTATGATCTATCAAGTAAGACCTTGCCTCAAGAATGAATGAATAAAGGAAGGAGAGAGGAGGAAAGAGAGCAGATGAAATAATGAAGGAGAAGCGTGAAGAGCAGACAGAAGTGGAGTGACTTCCATTGTCATGTACACTACCACATACTGAATGTTTTCTTTAAAACATCAGAAAGGAATGCAATTATACTACACATAAAAACCAGCAATCAAAAAGACATGACACGACGTCATACTTGTGAGGTGACGGCCAAATGCTGGGGTCCTGAAGAACCACACCAAGGGCATAAAGAATGAGGGTCTAGAAAACAAAGGCCCACAAATGCAACACCCAAGCTCTTCTGCTCTAGACAGTGAAAATGAAAAGTGACAAAATCGCCACCAGCCATTATCTTGATGATCTTACAACAGATCAGGCTTCCTAAGCGTACCATGGTATCTGGATGCTGTGCAGGAAAAACCAGATTTGACGATGTGAAAATTTAAAACCTGCATATGGCTAAACCCTGGAAACTCCTGTGAGTGTCAGTGGGAAAGGATCATAAACAGGAAGGAGTCCACTCCTAACTGACAGCTGGGGCAAGCAGACAGCACATCAGGAAGAAGTGCCGGGGTGAAAGAGAATGGGAACTGTTGATACACATATGAAAAGCTGTTCCATCTCTCTAATTATCAGAGAGAAGCAAGTGAGACAATGAGATGATCTGATTCACAGAATGTACAGAAGATTCATAGACCCAGAGCAGCTCTGAACTAGAGGGTTGCTGTAGACAGCCACCACAAAATGAACTCAGTAGTACTTTTGGAGACTTTTGTCTCAAAATACTTTGTTTTGGCATATTTTTAAAAACGTATTTTTCTTTTGCTTGTATATTATGATTTTTAATTTTGTGTTTTTATTGTTTTATGTGTGTGTATCTGTATTGTGAATGTGTTTCTCATACTTTGTCTTTGTTTGTATATTTTGTTTATTCTTATCTGTTTCTTTATTTTCCTGTTTGCTTTCTAAAGTGAGAAAGAAGGCCATGGAAGTCGAAAGGATGAGGAAGATCTGGGAGAAGATGAGGGAAGGGAAACTGTGATCAGAATATACCATATGAAAACATTTTTTCAATTAAAAGAAATAAAAAACACGTATTAAAGTAGCTGAAGATAAGCTGACTAAGTTAAATATACCAAACATTTCCTACCTCCTTAGAAATAACAAATGGGCAGACTTTTCCTTCAATGTCTTGAAGCCAGGCAGAAACTGGGGTTAGTTTGGTAGTCTGAACAGTTTCACAAAGCACTGGTCGGTAATATCTGTTTTTATAAAAATTAAACAGATGTGTTGAAGTCAATAAACATGACAACCATAGGCAGAACAGTGGTCATAAACCACATGAATGGGCCAGAGAGATAGTTCAGAGATTATGAACACTTGTGGCTCCTTCAGAGGTCCCAGCACCCACACTCAGAACAGTTTGCGACTCCAGTTCCAGCGACCTGGGAAACTTTCTTTTTCTTTTTGGGGATGTTTGTGTTAAGACTGAACCCTGCGAAACAGTCTGATGTCCAGAGACTGTGGAACAGCCTGAGACTGCTTCCAGGTATATGTCTGTCTTTTAAAGTGACCCAAGTGACTGTAGTGCACAACAACTGGCCCCAGAAGTCAATGGCAAGGCCTCCTATCTAGCTAACATTGTCTTTTGTAGAATTTCACACTAGTGAAACAGTGTGGTAGGCAGCCCTTTGCACTTGTTTCTTTCACTTAACATAACAAGTAGCTGTACATATTGACATAGTTTTTTCTATTAATTAGCAGCCTCCCATAGTATGGCAAAATCAAAATTTGCTACTTTATCTACCAGCTGGTAAACATCTGGACTGCTTCCAGCTCTTGTGTGTTTTGAATATACAATTACCAACATTTGCACACAGGTCTTTGTACAGGCCTGCTTTCATTTCTCTTAAGTAACTACAAGGAATGCTGAGGAGTTTTTCATATAGAGGCTGAGTGTATGCTTAACATTATAAAACCCTACCATAGCATTTTCCAGTGTGCCTGTACTATTTTGTATTCTTATAAATGAAGTATAAATGTCCACATGCTTGACATCATTGGAACTATATACAGGCTAATTAAAAGATTCTCTAGAACTACTTTATTTTTCAATATGGTACAACAATTGCATAGTCTTATTTTAAAATTTATTATTATTATGTGTGTATAGGTATTTTGCTAGCATGTATGTCTGTGCGCCACATTAGCATGTACTGTTCATGGAAGCCAGAGGAGGGCATTGGATCCCTGGGAACTGGAATTGCAGATGGCTGTGAGTGAGCCACCATGTGGGTTCTGGAAACTGAACCCAGGTCCTCTAGAAGAGAAGTCAGTACTCTTAACTCCTCTTAACTCTAGAGAGATGGGCCATCTCTCTAACTCCCAGAACTACTTTTTTGATTTTAGACATGAGATTAAATTTAATCTGTTAAAATCTGTATGTACATGGGTGTTGTATACATAATTGTGATCACAGCACCCAGGAGACTGAGGTAGTAGGATTACAAGTCTGTGGCCCCTATATAGTAAGACTTTGCCTCACAAAGCAGAAACGGGCTGTCAACAACAGTTAAGAGTGTTTTTGACTTAATCGTGAGAACTGAACTGGAACCCAGTACCCATCCCTATTGGGTGTCTCACGATTAACTCCAACTCCAGTTCCAAGGGATCCAACTCCCTCTTCTGGTCTCTACAGGCACCCATACACAATGTATACAAATACTTTTATACACATAAACACTTAAAATTTTGTTGTTGTTATTTTTCTGCAAGACAGTGTCTCTGGCTGTCCTGGAACTCACTGTGTCGGTGGGGCTGGCCTTGAACTCACAGAGATCCACCTGCCTTTTCCTCTCAAATACTGAGATTAAATGTATATACTACATTTATCCATCTACTGTGGGATAATGCTCTTGTACACTGTAAAGATTTGTCATTAGTGTTAGGTTAATAAAATGCTGATTGGCCAGTAGCCAGGCAGGAAGTATAGGCAGGCAACCAGACTAGGAGAATTCTGGGAAGAGAAAAGGCAGAGCCAGTCACCAGCCAGACACAGAGGAAGCAAGATGAGAATGCCTTACTGAGAAAAGGTACCAAACAGTTTATAATTAATATTAGTCTCTGCATGTTTCTTTGGGACTGAATGGCTGCAGGACCGGGTGGAACAGAAATTTTTGTCTCCACCAGTCTAAATAATTTTTAAATAAACAGAAACAAATCAAAATTAAAATTTATGTAAATATTTTAAGAACAATATATATATTTCCTACATATTATCATAAGCTTTAAGTTAATAAATAACGACCTGATAGTTGTCTTTTTAATGTTTTTTTTCCTTTCGTTGTATTCTTACCTTAGCTGCTCAATTTTCTCTGAAGTAAGAGGACCCTTCCCAAAAACTTGGTCTATCTCCTTTTAGAGCTTCTTCTGAACATCCCCAGTTGTCAGAGAGCAGATTGCCCAGGTACACACTATGTAAAAATTATATTAGTATAAATGAAAGTAGCTTCTGAGTAATTTTTGGTATAAAATAAGAAAAAAAAGTCAATGGTTTAGTTTTTAAATTTTTTCTTCCTGTTTTTCCTGGTAGATGTACATAAATGTTACCGAAAATAAAAATAAAACTCTCCACAGGATTTGACTAGAGCAGGAACATATAGAAGATGAGAATGCGTGTGCTCTATCATGACATCATCCTCCTGAAGTCTGGCAGGTAACTCAGATGTCTGCATCCTCCTGCCTGAGGTCAGTGAGAATAAACACCTGAGAGAGGACTGAATGTTGGAGATTGCATTATCTGTTTCAGTCTCGTGAAATAAAGACCCGACTTAATCATCCTGTTCATTTAGAAGCACTAATGAAATGATTCCTACAAATCAAATTAGTGGGAGATTTGCTCCTATGACATTATTTTTTTTTAGACTTTTAATAATTATTGCTCAGGCTATTGGCTCCCCTAAAACATCTGAGAGTTTATTGATACTGCAACCTAACATCCAGAGATTCAGATTCTATAGGTTTGGGGTAAGGTCCACCCACATGTACTATTTAAAAAACATTAATCATATTTATCTACTGTGTGCATATTAATGTTTGTGCATATGTATGCATATATAAGACTGTTAACATGCCTGTGGGGTTCAGAACTTGTTGGAGTTGGTTCTCTCCTTCCACCATGTGGCTTCCTGGGTCTAAATTCTGAGCCATCCCCCTGGCCCTCATCTGAACTTTTAATATGCCCTCTGACAGACACTGGCTCGTGGCTCACTTTTGGTTTCTGAAGGTTTATGGATTTTCTTTTTTTATTGATTTTATTGAACTCTACATTTTTCTCTGTTCCTCTCCCTGCCTCTCCCTTCCCCTTCAACCCTCTCCTAAGGTTCCCATGATCCCAATTTACTCAGGAGATCTTGTCTTTTTTTACTTCCCATGTAGATTAGATCCATGTATGTCTCTCTTAGGGTCCTCATTGTTGTCTAGGTTCTTGTGATTTGTGGGTTGGTTTTCTTTGCTTTATGTTTAAAAACCACTTATGAATGAATACATGTGATAACTGTCTTTCTGTGTCTGGGTTACTTCACTCAAAATAATGTTTTCTAGCTCCATCCATTTGCCTGCAAATTCCAAGATGTCATTATTTTCCTCTGCTGTGTAGTATTTCATTTTGTAAATGTACCACATTTTTCTTATCCATTCTTTGGTGGAGGGGCATTTAGATTGTTTCCAGGTTCTGGCTATGACAAACAAAGCTGCTATGAACATAGTTGAGCACATGTCCTTGTGGCATAATTGAGCATTCTTTGGACATATACCCAAAAGTGGTATTGCTGGGTCTTGAGGAAGGTTGTTTCCTAATTTTCTGAGAAATCGCCATACTGATATCCAAAAGGGCTGTACCAGTTTGCATCCCCACCAACAACTGAAGAGTGTTCCCTTTACCCACAACCTCTCCAGCATAAGTTGTCATCAATGTTTTTGATCTTGGTCATTCTTACAGGTAGAAGATGGAATCTCAGGGTTGTTTTGATTTGCATTTCTCTGATGACTAAGGATTGTGAACATTTCCTGAAGTGTCTTTCAGCCATTTTAGATTCCTCTGTTGAGAGTTCTCTTTTTAGGTCTGTACTCCATTTTTTTAAATTGGATTATGTGTTCTTTTGATGAACGATTTCTTGAGTTCTTGGTATATTTTGGAGACCAGACCTCTGTCTGATGTAAGGTTAGTGAAGATCTTTTCCCATTCTGTAGGCTGTCGTTTTCACATGGTGAATGGAACCCCGAGGATGTCTTAAGAAGCAGTACCGAGAGCTCTCCCTTCCTGTTTCTCCTGCCCTGTAATGTATATGGAGTACTGTTCACCTCTCCTTATCAATTTCTTTTTTTTCCAGACTAAGGACTGACTCAAAATTAAATTCTGATTATTACTATTATTATTATTACTTCTGTTGCTGCTACTATTGCAGTGCGGTGGATCAAACCAAGGCCTTGTGTGTGCAAGACAAGTGTTGTAATACTGATCTACACTCACAAAACACAAAGTTAACTTTTTAAAAATGTATGCCTGATTCATTTATTGCCTCTAAAATCAATAGCCACCTGGTAACTCAATTATTCAAGAGTAACTGGCTATGTCCTTAACTTCCCCTACACTTCCTGACTGTCCTGGAACTTGCTCTGTAGACCAGGCTGGCTTCAAACTTGCAAAGATCTGCCGCCTTTGCTTCTTGAATACAGGGACTAAAGGAATGTGTTGCCACTTTATATAGCTTGGCCCACGATGGTTTTTGGGTGAACCACAGCCTTTCATTTCACAAAAGATATGTAAACATATGCAATTTACAATATATATTAATATATTCAGAACAAGTTTACAATATCTATCTATATACTGCTAACAAGGATTTGCATACACTAGTCACCCATATGTCCTGCTTGACTTCATCATCAATTAAAACTAGCAAAGCATTAAAAATACATCTTTTAAAAAACTCACAGCATACATGTAAAGAAATAAATAGCAATGTTCTTTATAAACTCTCCCTAAATACTGAAAATGAGATTTAACTCTTAATTCTATCTTTGAGATAACCAATTTGTGGTGGCCACAGTATATTAAACTAAGTTTTGTTTTGTTTCTGTTTCTGAGACTGAGTCTCTGTGGCTCTAGAATTTACACACATGCCACCCTGCCCAGGTTAACTCCATTTAAATAAAAAAGCTTTAGCAAAGATAAATTTTAATGTAATACAGATTTAAAGCAAATAAGCAATAAAAAAAAAAACCCTGATGAGTTGTGAGATGACTCGAGGTGAGTTCACTCACTGCAAACCTAACAACATGGGTCCAACCTCTGGGACCTGGGTCAGGTGAACTCTCACTGCGTGCTCAAACTCTGACATGTGCCCACTGCCACTGTGACAGATAAATCTATGTAAGAAAATACTTAAATAATAAAATGTCAATAATCCTTTTTTAAATAATTGAGATCCTTGACACATCTTCACAAATTTCATTTAGTCTATAGCATCTAGACACACCGACATGTTGAAGAAGAGATATGTGTGGATGTTTACACCAGCAGCCTTCATCATTTTAAAAATTTGTCCTTGAAATGAAGTATAAGTGAAGTCCTTCAAGGGAACATAATTTTTTTACATTTTAAACTGCCACCTGAATACTTCCCGGGAGCATTTTATATTATGCCTTTTTATGTTTATAAACATTTTTATAATACTGTATCAATACAAACCTACAAACCAGCTGAAGGTCACACATCTTAGAATTATAAATAGAAATCATCTTCAATTCCAAGAAGAGAGTCCTTTCAGAGCACCATCACTGTAGACCCTGCACGCTTCCTGAGGCCTTATGAACAGCACACCTGCCTAGAGTTGTTAATGAAAAGCAGCCACAGAGGGTTGTGACTCAGTAGGGGACTGTCTATCTAATGTGGTCAGGGACTTGGGTTCAATGGGAGTAGGAAAGGAAACGGAGAAGCTCTCTCTCAGCAGGAAACGTGTTGACAGATTTCATTTCACAGGTGCTAACTAGAATTCACAGCCCCTAAAATGTGCCAAGCAATTCAGGGCAGTTTTCAAAGGTGAAACTGAACACGTGTGTGTGGGAGGCACCCATGTGAAGCAAGCTTTTTAAACAAGATCACAGCAGCAAGGAAGGGAAACTTCAGAGGGCTCTCGCAGTGTCTCTCTCTTCAGAAGAGCTTTTTGCCAGCGTATGCTCTGTAACCCATCTGAGAGAGAAGTCGATTTATAATTACACTTGGCAGTTATTATGCAATCAGCCAGAGAAAATATCATACTGTCTTCTAGGATCTACAAGACAAAACTAAGTTTAGAAAGTATGCGATATAAGGTGATCTTTCCTACTAAAACAATACAGGGTATAAAATTAGGCTCAACAAAAAGTGTGTGAGGAATATATTATTTCCTTATTAGGTCTTCAAAAAAAAAAAAACCTAAATCCCTGTAATGTGAGAACCAATATAAATAACGGGCTGTGGGCTGGAGAGGGTACTGAGCAGTTAAGAGGACTTAGGTTTTGTTCCCAGCAAACACCAAACACAATGGGTGGCTCCCAACGTTTCAGAGAATCTGACACCATCTTCTGGCCTCTAAGGGCTCCTGCACACACACAGGGTACATAACCTCACCCGGTGTCATACATTACATGTTAAAGAACAAATAAAAATCTCTAAATACTGGACTGCCTATTTTCTTACCTGTGTTAATTTTACCTTATTTTTGTCAATTTTAGTTAAATTTGTTCCTTGATATCAGACTATGCAATGCATTCTGGTTATCCACACCCCGCACCCTCTCCTATCAACCCTCTCATGGGTGGATCCTACCTTGCATTGTCTTTTGTTTTTTAAAATGGGGCCTTATTTTGTAGACTGGCCTAGAACTCAGAAATGGCCTGCCTCTGCCTTTTAAGTGCTGGGATTAAAGGTGTGTGCTCCCACTCCAGGTTGTACAGCCTTTTTGATGCAATCAACATTTATTTCTTAGTAATCTTATTGGCTCACTACAGGCAAATCTTTTCAGTCCTATTTTTATGTCTTGGGCATAGGGAAGACGTGCCTGCTATTGTCCTCAGAACTGACCAATTTCCGCACAAACTTACATCCAGAACTTCCTTCTGCCTACCAGAGATTGTATATGCCATGTCAGGACATCCTATAGATGCCACTGTGGCTCTTGCCTGACAACACCATAAACAGAGCATCATGCTGTAACAAACAAGCACTGAATGTGGCCATGAGGGCAGGAAGGCTGAGTCCATCAAGGCTCACACACACTTCTTCTCTGCCTACAGATCATTTGGGCTCGATGTTTGATTAGCCTAAGTTAAATGCTCGATAGTGGCTTTGGAGGGTGAACTAGTGGGGTATAGACTACTCAAGATAAACAAAAGAGACATCCAAAGCCTTGGAGGTCATGTGGACTAAAAGAAAAGCTCTATGCATATGTAACTTTCTCATAAAGGCTTAATGCTTTGATATCACCTGCGGCTCATTAAGGTTTCCTTGTATTAAGGAGTCAATGAAGATAGGTGGACTAAAGTTCCTTCCTTTTTGTTCCTGTATAATTTTCTTTAAAATAGATTCCAACTGCATGAGGACTTAAAGGAGAAAATTTGAAAAAAAAATTAAGAATATAAGTATTTGTGGAGATTAAACTTCCTAAAAGTAACTCTGTTCAGGCTGGGCAATGGTGGTGCATGCCTTTAATTCTAGCACTTGGGAGGTAGAGGCAGGCAGATCTCTTTATGAGTTCGAGGCCAGCCTGGTCTACAGAGCAAGTTCAAAGACAGCCAGGGCTAAGCAGAAAAACCATGTCTCAAAAAAAAAAATCTGTTCAAAGTTACCATGTGTGGAACAAAACCATTGAAGTCAGTAACCAATAGTTTTAAAAGCAAATTTGTATCTAAATTCATATATATTTTTCTTCCTTTCTTGTTAAATTTCAGTTACATATTAAAAAGTACATAAAATACCTACATGCAATTCAAGAAGTAACTGACTTTAAAGAAACATCTAAATTATTACCATCCAGGTGAAAACGTAAAACAATTCTAATGCCGCACAGGCTTCCAAACACACACGTTTCTCCATTAACATTAATCCTTCCTTCTAAATCTTCTTAATTCCACTGCTTCTCTCAATCAAGTTTCACTCTCTGAGAAACAGAGATAGATAAGACATAATCAGAAAGGTAAATTCTGAAACCTAAAAAGCACAATTAACTGGTAAACAATGACCACTAAAACTATCCAAGGTTTGCTTTATTCCTCATCTTAGCGGACTTACTCTATCACTGGTGACATCAGAGGTCACTCCAGGGAGCACTGTTTCCATGGCTCCCAGGACCACACTCCGTGAACTCTCCTGCCCTCCATCTCCTCTCATCTCAACTCTCTCTGGCTCTTGACTGTTTTAACGATGGAAAGTCCAAGGGTTGTTGTTTATTTCTCTCTTTTTTTTTTACTTCTTTCCTTTTTTTTTTTTTTTTTTTTTTTTTGGTTGGTCTGTTTGTTGATAGGGCCTCATTATTTGGCCCAGGCTCTTCTGGAACTCACTACGTCAGGGCCTTGTTTTGAACCTCCCTTTTAATCTGCATTTGCTGCCTTGGTGACCTCTGGTCTCAAGATTTTAAAACTACATAACAAATACTTTCAAAATTTTGCTTCTAGTCAGGGCCTCTTTCCTCCAATAAATTTGCATAAATTTAACTGCAAACTCCACATCTCCACTTAGGTACCCAAAGCATATTACACGTGGCTTCCAACACACCAAACTCTTGATCACTCTGCAAAACTCTATCTTCCTAAGGTTCACCATCTTGTCTTCTACCCTCTTGCTCCATCTTTAACTCATTAGCCAGTGTTGACAGTTCTGTCTTCAGAGCACAGAATTTTCTGTTGCTCCCTTGTTTCTGTCCCTCATTACCATCTGGTCCAAGCCTTAGCCTCTTTCTAGTCCACTTCATTGCAAAAGCACCTGAATTACTCCTTCTGCCTCTGTTCCCTGACCTCACCTGGACTTGGCATCACTGTACCACACTAGCTTCAGACACACCAGGAGCAGTCATCCCTCCAAGACTCTGAGTCACAGTCTCTCAGCCGGACTTCCCTTGGACATCCAGGTAACCCCATGGTCTCATAATTGTTGATCAACAATAATCTCAAGCAGTGACTCCCATCAGAATAGTCTCCAAGGATGCCTCTCCGCCCCACACTCTCTAGCTTTTCCAGTCTTTTCACCACAGTTTTCCTACTATAAATTTACTAAATTTAGGTCATTTCTAATTTCTTCCAACTAGAATGAGGTACAAGAATTCTTCCTATTTATTACTATCGCTCAGAACTGAACACATAACAAGCCAGTATAAACCTTGACCAAATAGTGATAAGACTTGAATAATTGACCACACGTTAGTGATGAAAAGGAGGATTTTCTGATAGTATACTGCAGCACTTCCTACACTACAGCACACTGGAATCACCCGGGAGGCATTTGTAAAAATAGTAAAACACAAATCACACCTCACAGCAATCGAATCTAAGTGTTTGGAGGTAGAAACCAGGTTTCAATATTAAAACAAAATAGCACAAATTGTGGTGTAATGAAGCTTGGGAATTACTGTGACTATTTCTGAAATTTAGTTTTTACAAAGGGGAATTAATCAAGTGATAAAATGGCAATGAATACTATTATATGAAATGTATCAAATAGGTCATAATCTTTAAGAGACGCTTATGAAGCAATACCATTATGTATGGAAAATAATCTGTTGCTCTCATGAAACCTTTTCTTCTTCTTTAGGGAGGTGGGTTTCTAACTCCTGGATTCAAATGGATGATCCTCCTGCCTCAGCATACCAAGTAGCTGGAACCACACATGTGCACAACTGTGAGGGATCTTTCATTACCCTGCCTGGCTCCAAGAAAAGAAAATGAAGCAGGTCAGAGTAAAGATATCGGCATGAGCATGAGCATCAGTAAAGTGCGTGCTGCACAGGCAGGAGACCTGCATTCGTATCCCCAGTGATGGTTCGTGTAAAGAAGAGAAAAGAGACAGGCACTAGACTCGCTGCTCAGATGGTCTTGCCTAGTCAATGAGCTTTAGGTTTAACTAGAGACTAGTCTCGAAACTTACGTTCAAGAGAGACAGAGGATGACGTCAGACATCCAGCTCTAGTCTGCATGAGCACACGTGCTGGCTGGCTGGCCCACCATTCATCGTGATGGTCTGGCACCTTATTTTTTGAGATAAGGTCTTTCACTGGATCAGTTAGGCTGTCTCTGTCCCCTCAAGTGCTGGAGTTTTGGGTGTATGCTACCACACCCAGGTTCCGTACAGTGCTGAATCTGAACTTAAGTCCTTGTGCTAGAACAGTCAGCACATTACCAACCAAGCCACCCCTAGTCCTACAAGATATGACTTTCCTATGTGAATTTTATTTTTTATTTTATAAATGCCACTGATGCCTATTTTTTATTTCTGTGTGTACACATGTCTGTGAGGGCATGCAGGTGCCCACAGAGATAAGAAGCACTTATCAGATCCCTGGGAGCTGGAATTACAGGTGTTTGTGTTCTCCCCAATGTGGATAAGGAAGTGAACTCAACTGCTAAGCCATCATATATACATATATATATATGTGTGTGTGTGTGTGTGTATAAATTTTATAAACCACTGTCAGACAATTTAGAAAACATTATAAAATTTCACTCAGTTATAATGACAGTATTTATTTATTTTTTATTTTGGGGGACTGGAGAGAGGGCTCAGTAGTTGAGAACACTTGAAGACCCAGGTTCAGTTCTTAGCACCCACATGGCAGCTCATAAATATCTGTAACTCTTGTTCCAGAGGATTCAACACCTCTTCTGGCCTCCTAGGAAACTGTGCACACAGTGTGCATATATGACCATGTAGGCAAAAAGCTCATTCATAGGTGGGCTTATGCATTTAACCCCAGCACTTGGGAAGCAGAGGCAGGCAGAGCTCTGTGAGTTCAAAACCATCCTGGTATACAGAGGGAGTTCCAGGACAGCCAGGACAGTTACACAGAGAAATCTTGACGAAGAAGAAGAAGAAGAAGAAGAAGAAGAAGAAGAAGAAGAAGAGGAGGAGGAGGAGGAGGAGGAGGAGGAGGAGGAGGAGGAGGGAAAAAATAAGCAAAAGAAAAAAGCTCATTCATATAAAATTATTAAAAATTTTAAAGCAAAGTTAGAGAATTTTAAATTTTTGATACATTTCCACAAATGTCTATAGAGTATTGAATCATTTTGGAATTATTTCCTTATCAGTTCCTCTAATACTGGATATTTAGTTTGGGTTTTGGTTCCTACTTACAGAAACAGTACTGCCAATAATAAAGGTTAGACACCATGCTCAGTGGTAGACCCCTGCCTTGCACCCTCAGCACCACACACACACATGGGCTGGAGGTGGCTCAGCAGTCGCAAGTACCAGCAGCTCTCTCAGAGAACTTGAGTTTGATTCCCAGCACACACTTGGAGATTCACAATTGTCTGTAATTATGGTTCCAGAACATCAGGCCCCTCTTCCGGCCTCTGTGGGCACCAGGCATGCAAGTGGTGCACAGCTGCACATGCAAGCAAAAAACCTCATACACAACAAATAAAATAAAATTTAAAAAACCATAAATATTTTCTTCTTTTAGAGAATTTTACCAGTGTTTATTATTCATAATACATACTATTGAATGGCTTTCTAGTTTCCCCATATGCTTTCCACAAGCCATGCAGTGAGGGCTCACTGTGCAGTGAGGGTCAGCTTCTCCTTGCTGCTTTTTCTACCTTTCATTGAAAAACTATCCCTGAATAAAACATGGAAGGAAAAAGCATAGCGAAAAAAAAATCAATAATCTCACTATTCAAAGATAAAACTACTAAAGCCAGGGGCGTATCTTTGAAACCTATTAAAATCTGAGGGTGAGACCTGGGACTCTGGTTTTTTGTTTTGTTTTGTTTTTCCCCAGGACAGGGTTTCTCTGTGTAGCTTTGGAGCCTGCCCTGGAACTCACTCTGTAGCCTGTGCGCCACCACTGCCCAGCTGAAACCTGGGGATCTGGATCAGCATTAGGCTAACTGCCTACCATGCAGTTCCCAAAAACTAGTTAATTAAGAGAGGCTAAACTTACTGTCTTGATACTGTTTTCTTCTGAGTGGCATTTTTATCAAGTGACCCATCTAAAAAGGCTTTTCCAATCTCAGACCAAACCTAAAAACAGGAAACCATGTAAGTACTATTGTGCATAGATCTCCCCACAATGCTGAGCGATGGAAGTTGTTGAGTATTGTAGTCCTTCCTCACCAGCGGACCTGAGCATCTAAGTTCTTCCTTTTCATCTGGGTGTCCAATCACGTGACCCACAGTTCCTGAGACCAGCGCTCAGACAGTTTTTTAATGATTTCAATCTAGGCACTTTCAAACTAATTTCATCTGGCATATGAAAAGTTTCTTTTCTTTCTTCTGTTTTGTTTCTTGAGACAGAGTTTTTCTGTGTAGACCTCATTATTCTGGAACTTGCTTTGTAGACCAGGCTAGCCTCAAACTCACAGAGATCCTCCTGCTTCTGCCTCCCAAGTGCTGGGATTAAAGACACATGATACCACTGAAAAGTTTCACACAGGGTAGAGAACGTAGCTCGGGTAGTGCAGCACTTGCCTCGCTAGCGCTAGCATCTAACAAGTTCTGGACTGGATCCCTGGTACCAACTACACCTTAGTATGAAGGCCCATGCCTCTAACCCCAGCACTTAGAAGTTCAAGGTCATCCTTGGCTATGTAGAAACCAGCCTGGGTTATATGAGACCCTTGCCATATGTGCCCCACAACCCCCAAACCCAGGCCAAAACCAAGAAGAAGAGGAGAATGAAGGGGAAACAGAGACTGAAAAGGACTTGGCAGAAGAATGAGTCCTCAGGTTTTTTACTGTATATGTGTAATCCCCTAAGATTCAGACATGAGGGAAAGAAATAAATAAGTAATTATCAATTTTTATTTCACTTGGGATATTGATAAATATTTACTAAGCTAAGGAAACGTTAAAATTTAGTCTAAGATTTAAAGAAAATAAACAGAAAAATAACTTCTAATCTTTTGAAACTGGATCATTATACAAGAAACAAATCTTTAACTTAGTAACAATTCAAAAACTCTGAAAAAAGTAATAAAAACACACTAATGAATGAATATTTATAAAATAACAGAGTTTAATCAAGTGTTTCTAATACTCACCTTAAAATTATTGCAAGCCAAGTAAGCCAGGAATGGCACATGCCTTTAATTACAGCACTCAGGAGGCAAGGAGGTAGAGGCAAGAGAGTTTCTGAGTTTGAGGTCAGCCTAGTTTACATAGAGAGTTCTAGGACAGTCAGGGCTACACAGAGAGACCCTGTCTCAAAAACAAACAAACAGAAACCTCTTAGAACTCAGTAACAAATATGAAATAAAATAAGGCAAAAGACCTCACATTTCATCAAAAGCATATAAATACATGGCAAAAAAGCACAATAAAGATTTCATCAAGGAGTTGGAGAGAGGGCTCAGTCAGTGAGAACACTTTTTCTAGCAGAAGACCCAGGTTTTTCAATTTCCAGCACCCACATGGCTCACAACTGGCCGCAACTCCTGTTCCAGGGAACCTCACGCCCTCCTCTGACCTTCTAGAACACCAGACATGCACACAGTGCCCAGGCACACATGGAAACTAAACACTCATAAGTAAATCTAAAAAAGATTTCAACAATAACTCAGATTATAGAAAGAAGAGGAAAATCAAGTCAGTTGCTTCAGAAAAACTTCCACTTGAAATGTTGTGTGTGTACGCGTACATCCATGTTAATGATTTTATTCTGCTCTATTATATAGAGTTACTATCATTTATTTAGTTAATCTCCTACTGAACATTTAAGGCTCTTTCAATTTCTGCTATAAAGTGCTTAAAAGATAATTTTCTAATCTACCTCTGAATGCATTTAGCTTCTATAAGATGTGAAATAGCTGGATTAAAAGATAATGTGTTTATAAGATTCTTATCAAGTACAAAAATAGATGGAAGACTTGTCACATGATTTTTCATAACTCATGTGCAGATAACTTTAGATGAGTCACGTGACTCACACCTCAAGCTGCTAAAAGGCAGATGTGGCACTACAGTGCGGTGGAGAACGAGCCTTTCCTATGGACTATACTGTGTCAACTGGGGACAACCCCATGGAAATACTGGCCAATCTTTCCTATGGACTATACTGTGTCAACTGGGGACAACCCCATGGAAATCCTGGCCAATCTTTCCTATGGACTATACTGTGTCAACTGGGGACAACCCCATGGAAATACTGGCCAATCTTTCCTATGGACTATACTGTGTCAACTGGACGACCTGATGGAAATACTGGCCAATCTTTCCTACGGACTATACTGTGTCAACTGGACGACCTGATGGAAATACTGGCCAATCTTTCTTATGGACTATACTGCCTCTGGAAGCTGTGTACCAACTTAAGTTCCTCAGCAGTGTCATGGTTCCAACCTCATGACTATGTACTATAATTTGAAAACTTCTCATTCTTAAAAACAAAATCTCAGCATTGCTTCATTTGACTTAAACTATTTTTCGATCTTGGCCATTCATGTGTACCTTCACACAGTGGGTGCTCATTCTTTTAACTCTTTCCTACTGGGACTCATTTTGTTCTTCAGGTTGTAGAAGAGCTGTGTCACATAGCCAGTTTTTACATGAACCCCAGGGTAACTCACAGCTAAGAGACTAATGTTGAGCCTTCTTTCTTTTAAGTCCCTTACACACAAACTGGGCTGTGATCTATTCATGCATGCCCTTAGTCCAGTGGTTCTCAACCTTCCTACTGCTGTGACCCCTTAACACAGTTACTCATATTGTTGTGACCCCTCAACCATAAAATTATTCTTGTTGCTACTTCATAACTATAATTTTGCTATAATATTGTAACTTTGTCATGAATCATAATGTAAATATCTGGTATGTAGGGTGGCGAAGGGTCATTTGGCCCTTCAGGGGAGTTGTGGCCCACAGATTGAGAACAGATGCGTTAATCCATCTGTTTTGTAGGGCTCTGAGAAATAATGCACATATTATAACTGACTCACCAAGAATTGTTCTGTTCTCTAGGCAAGCATAACTAGTTCGTTTGCTAGAGTATATGAATCTCTTTCTGTGTGGGAATGTTGGCTGTCTCAGCTGAGAATTCCAGTAAGCTTTGTTTGTTAATTTCAGTATTACGCATGGACTTAGTACTAGAAGAAATGTCCAAATAGAATACAAATATTTTCTTTCCCTAAAAGACATTTTCTAACTCTGCCACTCAAGTCTACCACATGTGATCAATGTACATAACAAGAATGACAGTTCTCGATTCATTCCAGTGACCAAGTCACAGGAGAATGTCGATGCTGCAATATTCTATTACAAATTATCCTCACATAAGTAAATCACATGTATATGATGTATAAACTGCCAAAACTCAAGAACAAGTCAAGCGGTGGTGACACATGCCTTTAATTCCAGCACTTGGGAGGCAGAGGCAGGTGACTCTCTGTGAGTTCGAGGCCAGCCTGGTCTACAGAGTGAGTTCCAGGACAGGGCCCAAAGTTACACAGAGAAACCCTGCCTTGAAAAATCAAATAAAAAAAAAACAAATAACAAAACAAAACAAAGCCTCAAGAACGTATGCTATCAATTTTATCATACATCTTCTAAGGATACAACAAGAGATATCCTCAAAATAATCAAAGTAAAATACTACAGTAATTTCAACTAACAAAAACCACATGGCAGAAACATTAACCTTAAACTATACATGGATTATAGTTTAACAGACATGATTCAGAATTCATTTATTTGTTTGTTGAAACAATTTCAACCAGGCATGGTAGCACATGAATTCAAAGCCATCCTGGTCTACATAACAAGTTCCAGGGCAGCCAAAGCTACATAGAGAAACCCTATCTCAAAAAGAAAAAAATGAAAGAAAGAAAGAAAGAAAGAAAGAAAGAAAGAAAGGAAGGAAGGAAGAAAGACACTCCCATTATACAGTCCAGACTGACCTCAAACTCCCAACCTCCCTGACTCAGTCTCCTTAGTGTGAGTGTGAGGACTGCATGCACCACCATGCCTCGGCCTCAGCAGATGAGATTCTGGAAAGTAAATGAGCTGTTAGAAAAAAAAATATATAAAATTTCTTTCAAAAATTAAGCAACTATTTAATAATTATTATAAAATTACTAATATTTTGTTTTTTTCCAATACAGGGTCTCCATATATAGGCCTGGCTGTACTGAAATTCACTCTGTAGACCAGTCTAGCCTTAAGCACAGAGATCTACCTGTCTCTGTCTTCAGAGTGCTGGGATTAAGGGTGTGTAAAACAATACCTAGCAATTGTTAATATTTCAAGAAAGAGACTTTTAATTCTGCCTTGCATCAGGATGTTAATAGTACTAAAGAATATAATAAAATTATCCAAGCACAATCACATGAGAGGAGGACCAAGCTACAGAGAGCAATATAGCCTTGTGGGTAAGACATGAGCTTGGTACCAGATGTCCCGGTGGTAAACCATTTCCTATGATTTATTGTTGCATGACTTTGGGCACACTACTTGGTTTCTTCCTCTTTAAAAAGGGGAAATAATATTATCTACCTATAAAATTTTCAAGGATTAAATAAGTTAGTATAGCCCATTAACTCAAAACGTTTGGCTATTTGTGCAATTCTATCAGTTGAGTGAATTCTTACGTTCTAAAATCCAGAAGAACGTGTTTCATCAGAACACAGAAGGTTCAGTCATCAGAACACTTGACTCGGATATGAACCAAAGACACAAAGATGCAGACGGTTGCCGTGGTGGCTGAAGGCTGTGGCCCTGGCAAACGGTAAAGAAACTGTTCTCACGGTGCACTCATTACTAACATCACTATCTACTTGCTATTTATCTATTTATTTTTCTGAGGCAGGGCCTCCATAAACTGCCCAGACTGCATCAAACAGTCTTCCTATGGTTCCCAGTAATATATATTAATATACATAATAACACATGGTGAAATCGTGACTTGTTTATACAGTTAGTTTCCATATTTTCCATAACAATGACTCATTACTTTGATAAATCATTTTAACAGGTCAAAGGTGAGTAGATTAGCTTTGGCGGAAAGAAGAATTCTTAGGACGGGGGCTGGAGAGATGGCTCAGCGGTTAAGAGCACTGACTGCTCTTCCAGAGGTCCTGAGTTCAATTCCCAGCAACCACATGGTGGCTCACAGCCATCTGTAATGAGACCTGGCGCCCCCTTCTGGCTTGCGGGCACACATGGAAGGAATGTTGTATACATAATAAATAAATAAATTTAAAAAAAAAAAGAATTCTTAGGACTAGGCAAGAGAACACTTCCCTAAAACATGTGAGGCCCCTGGGTTAATACCAGCACTGCAAATGCAGGCAGAGGGGGACAGGAAAAAAACAAAAGCATTCCTTGAGAATTAAGATCAAGAGAAAGAAAAAATGCTGGGATGGAGAGTTTTGCTGAAGGCGTGAGGAAGGCGGGGAGCTGACAGGTAGGGACTCAGCTAAGCAGGAAGCCAGAATATCAGCAGCAGGTCAGGATGAAGGTAAGGGCAGAAAACTGCTCAGTAACACACAGCTCAGCTGAGAGCCATGGGGACAGAAAGGAAATGTTCCCCCAGAAGGTCCATGTGCAATGCACTATTGAGACTGGACCATGAAGCACTAAATTTATTAGTGGGCTAATCCGCTGATAAGTTAATTCATGGACAACTAGATCAGGACGATTAGAGAAAAATAGGTTGCTGTGGTACAGCCTCAGCTCAGGCTTAGGTCCTGAGATGGGAAGGGGCATCAGCACGAGGAAGACTTTTGACCAAGCGGCACAAGTCCTGCAAATTCCTACACTGTCTCATGGACTGCTGGTCCTTGCTAAGTAAGAGTGTACTTCCACAGGCGCCCTGCCCAGGGAGACCTGGTGGGCAGGTAGTCAGACGCTGTCCGAGACTAGGCTGCGGAGCTCCAAGTCGGTGAAGGTGCATCTGCCCCACCCCCACCCCTTCTCACCCTCTGCTTCCTTCAGGTTGGCAGCCTTCCTTCACAATTTCTCATCACGCTTCTGTCTTGCCACAGGCCGGTAAACAGTGGAACCAGCCACCAGACAGAAAAACCATCAACCAAAATACATTCTGCCTCCCTTAAACTGTTTTTCTGGGCGCTTTTCCAGAGCAACAAAACTCGACTACTACAGCATGGGTACGTGTCCTTGTACTCAGGCTTTGTAAATCACCTGCAGAACTTCCTGAAGATGCTGGGCTCCCATCCCGCTGACTCAGCATATCCAGGCAGAGGCCCAGTAATCTGTACTTCAAGGACAGTTTCGTGTAAGCTCACATCATGCTTAGGCAACCTTGGCTTAAGACTGGCCAAGGAGCCAGGAAGGTGGTCCAGTGAGTAGAATATGAGGATTTAATTTGAAACCCCAGCCATCAATGGCGGCCTACTTTTAATTTCAGCACTCTGGAGGCAGAGACAGGGGTTCTGTATGAAACAAGCTGACTAGTTAGACCAGACAAGTCACCCAGTGCCAGCAAACATGCACACTTACCTATAACTACAAATAATAATAATAATACAATCTTTAAAAAGCCAGCTTAGAAAAACAGGTACGAGAAGAGTGGCAAACATAAGGTATACTGGTAGTTTAGAGACACCCTGCAAACACTGTTGTCTACACTGCAGACCAAGCACTTACCACCTGAGACACTCTGCACACACCATTGTCTACACTGCAGGAGAGAAAAGTTATTCTGCAAAGTGGCCATCATGGAATTTCCATAGGGTTTGCTCCTCATATGGTTTTTGCTCACACTCCCACCAACCAGATTGAACCTTAATAATGACTTCAACATGGTTTCAAATGAGTCCGCTGAAGTAGACAGATTCAGTATTTCTATACTCAAAAAATAATTCAAGAGAAAAATATTCAATAAGAAAACAGAGGTCAGTGAGGTAAAGGGAGACAGCAGAGAGCATGGCAATCTTCTGGCAACACCATTGACAGCCTTTTGTAAAAGCAACCGTTCAACAGTCAACGAGAAAGGGCAAAATTGTCCTGATTCAGAATCCCACTGTGCTTCTCTAATGCCTGCATAAAATGTCTGTGGATAGAACTACTTTTTCAAAAGATTTGTTTTCTTTTTGGGCCTGGATGTTTTGCTTGAATGTATGTCTGTGAATCACATGCAAGCAAAAGCCATCATAGTGCGCTGCACACTCTAGATTGGGAGCTACGGGCAGTTGTGAGCCTTCATGAGGGTGCTGGTAACTGAACCTGGGTCCTCTGGAAGAGAAACGGTACTCTTAACCCTGAGCCACACCCCCTAGAGACACACACACCACACTTTAAAGCAAAATGGATAATATTGTGGGTTGTTTTCAAGTCTTAGAAATAAAATCAGCTGATCTCACTTTCTCTATTCTATTCCTTTAGTAGCTGTATTATTTATGTGCAAACACATTACTAAAAACAATTCAAAAAAACACAGAAAAATACAAAGAAAGTAAAATCCATCCTAAATCTCAGTTGCTGTATACAATATGGGGAACTGCCAATTTGACTAGATCTCCTGACCAACGAGCCCCAGGGAATGCTACCAGGATGACAAAAGCACGTCTTCACACCTGGCTGTCTGCGTGGACTCTGGGGATCGAGCAAAGGTCTACAGTCTGTGCATCAAGCACCTGACCAACTGAATCCTCTCCCCAGCTCTGAAGTGGATTTTGATACAAAGAATAAGGAAAGGATTAATTTCTTTCTAAATATCTGCAGTCTTTAGCCTGCTATAAAAATGCTGTTTTTCCCGAGTACCTGTTCATCTAGTAAGTAGTTACCACTCGACTCCCTCAGTCTAACCCTATCACTGTATGAATCTTTAGATCAATCTGGTGTTTTATATTGCACTTGTGACACTATTTCTTTCACTAATATCCCTCAAGCTTTCCTAGCTACTCATAAACATTAACCCTTTCAGACAAACTCCGAAACTATTTTCTCTGGCTTCCTCAAAAGAACCCTGAGGTAATTTACACTAGGATTGCATTGCATGTATTTGTAAATTAAAGATAAAAATAATTTCATACTATTGCAGTAAATGAAATAACCAGGACATTAGTGCATACTGAACACACAGCACAGAGCATTCACTCAACCTCAGCCATTCCCACCCTTATTCTCCGAAGGCATGGATCAGCTGAGGAGAAAAACAAGTAACCTATAAATCTTTGGGGTTGCAGTGCTGCTTGAGTACATCAGTGGTGCCCAAACCACAAGACGCAAACCAGAGAGAGGCCACAGGCCCGTTATCTTTCATGCAAATTAACCAGGAACTCAGGCAAACTTCCACTGTTCACAAAGTCTGGAAGGTTACCACCTCTGATAAAAGACAGATATGCCGTGTAATCAATTTAACGAAAAAAAGATCAGAAAGGCCACAGTTGACGCTGAATTAACAGTGATAATAGATTTAAATTATTAAAAAATCTCAAATTCAGTTTTATTCACCATCTTGCTGTTTCTGTCATTGCATTTAGCAATCAAATTGATTTTCCTGAGAATTTTGAGAATTCAGGACACCAATGAATGAAATCAAATAAGAGCAACCCAAGGAACATCTGATGTGGTCAGTCAGTAGGAGAATTACAGCCATGCGAATGCTCACAGCTGACAAAACCCTACAAATACCTTCAAGGGTTGTTTTGTTTTTCTGTCCTGTTTCTATCTTATTTTCAGCTTTCTCTGGATGGGGAAAGGGGAAAGTAGTGACAGATAGCCTTGCTCTCAGACTGTAAAGAAGATTAGGTTGTATGCCCAGAGGTAAATTTCAATAAAATGAGTAATGTAAAAAATAATGTTTAGGACTGAGGCTGTAGTTCAAAGGCACAACACTTGCTTAGCAAGCTTTGGGCCTTGGATTCCATCCCCAGCACCAAATTAAAAAAAAAAAAAGGAAAGAAAAGAAAACTCCATGAAAACATAGTTTTGTTTTAATGCTGAAAAAGAAGAGATGATAAAGGAAGAGATTTGGTAAAAAAAAAAAAAAAACACAAACAAACAAACAACAAAACCTTTCTTTTCTTCAGCTGGTGCAATCCCTGGAATTCCTGCAGGTTGTCGGGAAGCCTGAATGGGGAAAAATGAATGGCTATGTAATGAACTGTCACAGATCTGAGAAGCCCTACATGTTTACACATGACATCTCCAGGACCTTAAACAATAACTCTCCAATTCAGCTGAATGCAAGGACTCATTTCCACATTGAAACAAAGCTAATGGGCTCCTGGTATAAGGAAGAATTATTAAAACTACATGATCATCTCATTAGACGTTGAAAAAGCCTTTGACAAAATCCAACCTCCTTCATAATAAAGGTCTTGGAGAGAGCAAGGATACAAAGAACATTTCTCAACATAATAAAGGCAATATGCATCAAGCCAACAGCCAACATCAAACTAAATAGAGAAAAACTCACAGGGATCCCACTGAAATCAGGAACAAGACAAGGTTGTCCACTCTCTCCATATCTATTCAATATAGTTCTTGAGGTTCTAGATCAAGAGGATACAAATTGGAAAGGAAAAAAGTCAAACTTTCACTATTTGCTGATGATATGATAGTATTCATAAGTGACCTCAAAACTTCTACCAGAGAACTACTACAGGTGATAAATACCGTCAGTAATGTGGTAGGGTACAAGATTAACAACAGCAGCAGCAACAACAACAACAACAACAACAAATCAGTAGCCCTCCTATATACAGATGATAAACGAGATGAGAAAGAGCTCAAATAAACATCACCCTTCATAATAGCCACAAACAACATAAAATACCTTGGACGTAACTCTAATCAAACAAGTGAAAGACTTGTAGGACAAGAACTTTAACTCTTTGAAGAATGAAATTGAAAGGGATATCAGAAAATGGAAATATCTCCCACACTCATGGATAGATAGATTAACAGAGTAAAAATGGCAATCTTGCCAAAGCAATCTACAGATTCAATGTGATACCCATCAAAATATCAGCACAATTCTTCACAGACCTCAAAGGAACAATTTTAAATTTCATATGAAGAAACAAAAAATCCAGGATAGCCAAAACTATTCTGTACAATAAAGGGACATAAGAAGGCATCACCATCTCTGACTTCAAGCTCTATTATAGAGCTACAGTAATGGAAACTGTATTGGAAATTGGTATTGGCATCAAAACAGACAGATGGAATCAAATCAAAGATACTGATATTAACCCACACAACTTTGAACACCTGACTTTTGACAAAGAAGCAAAAAATATAAAATGGAAAAAAGAAAGCATCTTCAACAAAAGGTGCTGGCATAACTGGATAGCAACATGTAGAAGAATGAAAACAGATCCATATCTATCGCCATGCACAAAACCCAAGTCCAAATGAATCAAAGACTCAACATAAATCCATCCACACTAAACCTCATAGAAGAGAAAGTGGGAAGTACACTTGAATGTATTGGCACAGGAGACCACTTCCTAAATATAACACCAGTAGCACAGACACTGAGAGTAACAATTAATAAATGGGACCTCCTGAAACTAAGACAGTTTTGTAAAGCAGAGGACATGTTCAAAAAGATCTTCACCAATGCCACATCTGACAAAAGGCTGATCTCCAAAATATACAAAGAACTCAAGAAACTAGACATCAAACTACCAAATAATCCAATCAAAAACTGGAGTACAGATCTAAACAGAAAATTCTCAATAGAAGAATCTCAGATGGCCAAAGGACACTTAAGGAAATGCTCAACATCCTTGGTCATCAGGAAAACACAAATCAAAACAACTCTGAGATATCATTTTACACCAATCAGAGTGGCTAAGATCAAAAACACTGGCAGGGCAGTGGTGGCGCACGCCTTTAATCCCAGAACTGAGGAGGCAGAGGTAGGAGGATCTCCGTGAGTTCGATGCCAGCCTGGTCTACAAGAGCTAGTTCCAGGGCAGGCAACAAAGCAACACAGAGAAACCCTGTCTTGAAAAACCAAAAAAATAAAAAAAGGAAGGTCAAAACCACTGATAATAGTTTATGCTGGAGAAGATGTGGAGTAAGGAGAACATTCCTCCACTGCTGGTGGGAGTGCAAACTTGTATAGTAGTCACCTTGGAAATCAGTATGGCAGTTTCGCAGAAAATTAGGACTCAGTCTCCCTCAAGACTCAGCAATTCCACTTTTGGGCATATACCCAAAAGAGTCACAATCAAACCACAAGAACATTTGCCCAATTATGTTCATAGCAGCATTATTCATAATAATCAGAATCTGGAAAATACCTATATGCCCATCAAGTGAAGAATGAATAAAGAAAATGTGGTACATTTACATAATGGAGTACTATTCAGTAGTAACAAATGACGTATAAATTTGCAAGCAAATGGACAGATCTAGAAACCATCCTGAGTGAGGTAAACCAGACTCAGAAAGACAAATATACTATGTACTCATAAGTGTATATCAGACATAAAGCAAAGGATAATCAGCCTACAATCCACAACCCCAGAGAAGCTAGAACCCTCTTCCAGAAACAGATGAAGCAGATACAGAAATCTACAACTGGGCCGAGCTCCAAAGGGATCAAGACCATGGTAGGAAAATCCACAGAATCAGCTGACCCAGACCTGTGGGAGAGCACTAACTCCTGACTGACAACTGGGGAGCCCTCAAAGGACTGAACTAGGCCCCCTGAATATAGGTGACAATGCTCAAGGTGGCCTGGGCAGTATATGGGGCTCCCCATTGTCAGTGGGACCAGAATCTAACTCTAATGCATGAACTGACTTTGTAGAGCCCATTCTCTTTGTAGAGATACCTTGTTCAGTCTAGGCA